CTTTTTGTTCTAGAAACTGCAACAGGGTGGTCCCCAGGAAAGGGGGAGGTTCCCTGCCCCACCCAAGGGAGGGTGGAGCTGAGCAGCAAAAGAAGAAGCTGCAGGAAGAGACGGAGGAAGGAAGCAGGATGGAGCCAGGAGACCTGGAAGAGGCGCATGGAGCCTAGAGACACGTGAAGAAACTGCGCTTGTCTTTTGGTCGTGGACTGGGTGACACAGATGTGGGTGAGACCCGTGGGGAGGTGACCATGGCAGCTTTTATCTTGATGTTGATTTTGCTCTTTTCCTTCCGGGCTTGTCCAGTTGTTTGTGACCCTTTTCTGTGGGTCCCCACTGGAAGATGTTTTAGACTTGTGGTAGACTTTGGGGCCTTGCTCTGGGCCGATCCCATTTGGATGGAGTTTTACCCACGAGGGGACGGGTAACTTTGGGTGTTTCATTTAGAAACTAGATTATTTGCTTTTCCTGTATTGTTTCCTAGTTTTATTAAAGTTCCTTCCCATTAAAGTCTCCTATGTTTTGTGTTGATGCGGCGGATGGCAGAACCCATGTAGAATAGGCAGGTTTGCGGGGTTTGGGCTGCCCCTCTCCCTGTCCTATAACAAAACCTGTGGGTTTGGTTTTGATATTTAGTTCTATGACCATTTTAGAACCAATTAGCTAGTCAATGAATCTATCTAATTATCAGTGGGTTAGTTAATTATAATAAATTTTTGTGTATGGAGTGAGTACAAGCTGTAGTGGGAGTAATATTAGGGTGAGGCCGGAGGTGTGGGGGTGAAAGAATTTGCCAGAGACAGTAAAGAACAGAAAAGGCAGATTTATTGAAATACCTGCTGGGAAAAACAGCGGGCGAGACGGGAGAGGTCTGTGCGCGAAGGATTTGAGGCTCTTTTATACTCTATGTTTGTGAGCTTCCTACTCGGGGCACCAGTTTGCAGCAGTCACCTGCTGGACGTGTGGTCCCGGGCTCTGGTCTTTGACACAGAAACATGTTCTGGCCTCTGCTTCTGTGTTCCTGGAGCAGGGCTGGTTTTTCTGGTCCTGGTGGGGGGTTTTATGGCCTTGTCCCCGGGCCGCCTTATCCATCCCCTTATCCATTCCAGCCTCCTGACCTGCCTGCTGGGCCAGGAGATGGGGCTTCGTTTTTGACCTGATTCAATTGATTTTTCCCCACGGTATAGTCTGTTGTTGCAACACTTTTTCTCTTTTCCCATCTAGCTGCCTTGGGCCTTGGTTGTGTTACAGGCCAGGGAGAGGGATACCTTAGAACCCCCAAATCTGCCTGCTCTAAATAGATTCTGCCATCCGCCGCATCAACACAAAACATATAAGACTTTATTAATTTCTTTTAAAAGATTTATTTATTTATACAAGAACTGAGGTACAGGCCAGATCTTCGAGAGAGTGAGAGGATTAATCAGAGACAGAGCGGGGAACAGAACTGATAGACTGATGAAATACACTGCTGATGGGAGCAGCAGGCGAGACAGGAGAGGTCTGCCACGCCATGTGGGACCCTCACCGGACGGCTGGCCGGGATCGAGCCGGCGCGGCAGTGGCTGCAGACAGCTTCACAGCGCGGTGCTCAACCACCTGCGCCACCAGGGGAGGCCTATATAAGACTTTAATAGGAAGGAACTTTAATACAATTAGGAAACAATACAGGAAAGGCAAAGAATATAGTTTCGAAATCAAGCACCCACAGTTGCCCATGCCCTCGTGGGTAAAAGTCCACCCAAACAGGATTAGCCCAGAGTAAGGCTCAAAAGCAAGGCCTGAAAGTACCTTCCAGCGGGGACCCACAGAAAAGGATCAGAAACAAACAGACAAGTCTGGGAGGAAAAGAGCAAAATCAAATCAAGATAAAAGCTGCCATTGTCACCTCCCTGCGGGTCTCACCCACATCTGCGTCACCCAGCCCAGGACCCACAAGCAAGAGCAGTTTCTTCACGTGTCTCTCTGCTCCCTGGGCCTCCTCCAGGTCTCCTCCTGGCTCCATCCTCCTCCCTCCTTTCCCAGGCTCCCCTCCAGCTTCTCCTCCTCCCTGCTCAGCCCACCCCCCCCCGGGTGGGGCAGGGACCCTGGAACTTCCCCTTTCCTGGGCACCACCCTGTGACAGTTGGACACATTGACCATGAGGGGCGAGTCTACGGGGCTCCCCGTCCAGTTCCTTGCATCCCTCCGCCTGTCCTTGCCAGTAGATTCAGGAGTCAACGGGCACAACACTCTCAAACTTGCAACCTTTCAACCGAAGACCACAAAAATGCTCACCTCTTGCAGCTGCCTCTCAACCGCTGCCTACACTCCACCGATTCTCTGGGCCACGCACGCCCTTCCTCATAGGCACACATGGGCTCGCACCGAAACTGCTGTGGCCATGGGAATTGAAACTGCAGGCCTGATTTGGAAGGAGTTGTGCAATGTCAGCCAGCTCCTAACCACTCCTCGCTGGGTCTTCACATTCCCGTCAGAAGCCGGGCTCACGTCACCATCGCTCATGGGGCTTGACCGTGTGCGCTCTGGCTCACCAGCCGGAGAACGGGGATCTGCCGCAGACCTGGCAGTTGGTGGAGGAGGAGAGTAAACCGTTAACGGATGGCCAAACCCTCTTAGAAGGTGCACCCCGGGCCTCCCTGGTGGCGCAGGGGTTAAGTGGCACCACTATCAAGCGATTGGCAGCCACTGCAGGGAGCTACCCCCATGGCGCAGCAGACCTCTCCTGTCTCCCCGCTGCTCCCCTCAGCAGTGGATCTCAGTCAGTCTGCCTGTTCTGTTCCCTACTCTGTCTCTGGTGAGTCTTCTCACCCCCCATACCTCTGGCCTGTACCCCAGCTCTTATATGCATAAATAAATAAAATAAATCTTTAAAAAAAAGAGAAGGTGCACCCCTTAACAGGTCCCTGGGAGCCCTTCGGTCATGACATCACCTTGATACTGGGCTTGCCAGAGCAGGTGCTCTGCAAAGGCGGCTGGACTGCCCCGGGCCTGCTGGGGGCAAGTCTGTGTTACCCTTTTACTCCACAAATCAAGGCGCAAACTCTTGGTCACTTGGCAAGCAAGTGGGCTCTAGCAAGACGCGGTAAATTGGTCTGTTTTCAGACCATCATAAATCGGAGACATCTGCAGGGGAGGAGGCGGGAGAGGGATCAGAGGGAGGGAGGGAGGCGCACAGGGGCTGAGGTGACGGTGCACGGGTGCCTTGGAGAAGGAAATTCTATGGGGACTACACCTGGGGTGGGGGGGAAGCAAATATTGTTTAAAAATGAACAATGACGTAAAAAATAAAAACATTTAAAATTAAAAAAATAAATGGCTCTGTTTTTGGCAAACTCCATTCCTCTGACCTCGAAGTGAGTTATTTTGTGAGTCGCAAAACCAGAAAGAGAACACTGTTGACCAATTTGTAGGACTAAAAATAGATATTTTTAGGATAGTTTCTGTAAATGACCCCAAATCAGATTTCAGGTGGAAAAACAGCTTTAAAACAAATATCCAGGAAAGACCAAATCATTGAAAGTGGTGATTTTCGAGAAGCCATTCTGTCCCAGAGGCCGTCTTCGCTGACCAAATGGGCCAGGGGCCTATTGTGAGGAGAAAATTAGATAACAGACGCTCTGAAAAGCCAAATGTGCCGTCCTAATGGCGGTCACTATCCGATGAGTGGTCTGTGGAATGTTCCTTCTGGGACCTGGTGTAGCTCCAGCCGCTCCGCGATCTGCGGTTGGCGGAGAGAGGGTAGGAGAGAGTCCTTGAGCGGCTGTTCCCTGCTCCCAGGTCCAGCATCTTCCTCCTGGGAGACCTCTGTGGCTCCGTGTGAGTCGGCCATTAAGGTAGGCACGGCTTTGGGGTGGCGTGTTGTGCATTGAGGAAGAAATGGCGCGGCTGGTTCCCATGCCTGGGCAGATGGTGCCCCAGCAGGGGGGTCGTGACCTTCTCAGGGAACAGATGTCCTGCAGGGCGAGTGTGGGCCAGCCCCAGGCTGGCTCAGGCAGGTGCCACGGTGTATCTCGTCCTGTGACAGGGGACCAGGGCCTCACCCCTTCAGATCTCCTTGTTCTTCTACACGGCAGGGAGGTGCCCGCAGCAGACCTGCGCGTGGCAATTTTAAAACAACGTCACAAATTCCTTGACTCTCCTTCCAGGAAGGCTTGGGGTTTATGCCCCCTCCCCTGAGCGTGTAGGGGGCGTGACTGCTTCAACCACTAGACCAGAGCCGTGCCTGCCAGTGGTTTTCCCATTATCATCCTCTGCAGTTAGTCACTTTCCTTTTCTAAAATTCCTTCCCCACTTTTTTGTGACTTTAAAAAAAAATTATTTTTTTATGCATATAAGAGCTGGGGTACAGGCCAGAGATGTAGGGGGTGAGAGGATCACCAGAGACAGAGCGGGGAGCAGAACAGGTGGATTGACTGAAATCCACTGAGGGGAGCAGCGGGGAGACAGGAGAGGTCTCCCGCGCCTTGTGGGTCAGTTCGATGGCCCGGGATGGAACTCATGTTGCAGAGGCTGCAGACAGCTTCATCGTGCTGTGTCTTAACCCCTTGTGCCCCCAGGGAGGCCCTTTCATGACATAAAGATGACATAAAGATGCACAGTGTGTGTGATGAGGCTATGTGTGCATTTGTGTGTGGGCATCTATGTCTGCTTACATGTTTTGTGTATAGAACCCAGATGTTTTCTTTCTATGTTTCCTATATGAAAAGAGTAAACATTTTTTGACCCTCCAAGAACAAATGAGCACCCCTGTTGGAATGCAGGGATCACATAGAGCAAAAGTGACCCCGTGTGACTCCCACAGCTGGACCAGAAGGAAGCCTGCAGCTCCTTCCCTGCCCTCTTGACTCCCAGGTGAGTCCCCACAGGTGAGTCCCCCAGGTGAGGCCTCCCTGCCTCAGATGCACCGATATAGATGCAGGGACACAGACATTTACCTCCTTTCAAAGAACCTCCTCACAAAACATTTATTTATTTAAAGATTTATTTTTATTTATGGGTATAAGAACTGGGGTGTACGCCACAGGTGTGGGCTGCTGGGCTGCGGGGCTGGGAGAGGATTCACCAGAAAGAAAGTGGCGAGCAGAACAGGCAGATCCACTGAAATACTCTGCTGAGGGGAGCAGTGGGGAGACAGGAGAGGTCTGCTGTGTCATGTGGGTCAGCTCCCTGGCCAGGGATCGAACTCTGGCCGCAGCGGTGATAGCTCTGAGACTTCACCCCTAGGCCACCGGGGAGCCCCAACCCCAGAGCTTCTGGGCAGGGAAGGAGCTCTATTGTTAACTGACTGACAAAAGGTGGGAGAGAAACTCAAATCTACCTCCCTGATGAAGAAGGGAATGAGGTTGCACAAGTTTTGGGCACTGTGGCTGGGGGCCTTGGCGCTCGGGCCAAGTTAGTTGCTCCTGTTCAGCGCAGGTTGCATCAAGTGCGGTGCGGGCCAGGTTCTGCTGTCCCAAAGCGGCTCTCAAAGAGAAAGCCAGACAAGTTCTCCTGCGCTTCAAGCCCGAGGACAGTCTCAGTCCCAAGACTGCTGGCGCCTGAGGACCCTGTGTGAGGGGGCACCCCCGCCCTCCCTGGCTCTGGTCCTGGGGTGGAGGCTGCAGGCGACAGAGAGGGCCCATTGGGGGCCCCGCTGCCCTGAGCAGGAAGGGGTCCAGAGCATGTTCTTGAGGCCAGCATGGGGGCCCCTCACCTCAGCAGGGACCCTCGACTCTCCTTTTGGACACAGTCACTTCCCGCTCCCAGGAAGAGGTCAGGCTGGGCCCCGCCCCAGCACAGAAGGCGCGGGGCTGGGGTCTCCTCCTGCCCAGGCTGACTTTACTCCCCTCTGAAGTCCCCCCGACTCCTGTTCAGCCACATCACGGCGCACAGCAGGCCCCCGAGCAGGGGCACCTTCATGAAGGTCAGGAGCAGGAAGTGCATGTTGCAGACCAGGGCCCTGTGCGGGAACAGGGTGACGGCGTGAGCGGCCTCCTCGGGGCAGCCCCCGCCTCTCCTCTCCCCGGCCTCCCAGAGCCAAGACCTGGAGCCCCTACAACGCGCGACAGGTGGGCCCAGGGCCCTGCCCAGGAAAGCCTGCCGCTCCCCACCCCGCCCCTCCCCACCGTCGTGCTGCCCAAAGGCTGAGCCCCCAGGCCGCCCTGCAGGGAGACAGGCTCCTGTGCTGTCTCCCCCGCCTGTGTCCCGTCCCTCAATTCCCCTGCAGCCCACCAAGCTAAAGCTTTGCCCTCTCCTGTCTTGCTGACCCCGCTCCTGCCCCCCCGTCTTTCACGCTCACATGGAATACTCCCCCTTCCAAGCAGAGGAGGAGCCCCCGGCCCAGTCAAGCTGGCTGTTCTTTCTCCTGCCGGGTTCTCCCGCGGGCCCTCCCCTGCCCGGCCCCGTCCGAGGGTGCGTGCCCGGTGCCAGCTCCCGGGTCCCGTGTGCCCTCGGAGGCTTGTGTCCCCTTGGCCGCCTCTCTCAGCGTAGGAGAGTCGGCCCCTCCCCATGCTCATCTCCTCCTGCACCAGGGGTGCCAAGGTCCCCCCGAGCCATCCCCCCAAGGCAGGCCAGGCCCCTCCTCTCCCTCCGCAGTCTTGGGTGTGGTGACATGTGGATGTCACGGTTCTCTGGAGAAGGGAGGGCAGGCTGCGCCGCGCCTCCTAAAAATATCCTACAAACCACTTGCCACAAGTCCTACTCCCTGGGGGGGCAGCAACCCACCCCATTTCCTCTCCTGTTCCCCTGGACTCAGCGTTGCTGCGACTTCTGCATCCTGCTCTCCGGACTCAGCACAACACCCGCTCTCCAAACGGCCTTGGGCAGGGTGGAAGCCGGGGCATCAAGTGTCCCCCAAGTGCCTCTCTCTCTGGCTTTGAAGATGGTGGGGTGGGCATGACCAAGGCACGAAGGGGCCCCTAAAGCAGAGAAGCACGGGCAGATCCCCGCTCCTCCCTGCAGACACCTCGACTTCAGCCCAGTGAGACACACTTCAGGCTCCGCCTGCAGCGCTGACCGTGCTGGTGGTTTCAAGCCGCCAGGTTTGTGGTCATTTGTGCCAGCAGCCCCAGGAGTCTCCTCCGGGGGGGCTTGCCTTGTCTCCTTGGGGTGAGCCTGCCACACCTCCTTCCGCTTCCTGGGTTTAGGGGCGGGTCAGGGGGCGCTCAGAGCCTTTGCTCCAGGAGTCCCACTAAAGGCTTGTTTAGTTGGGGTGCGGGGCGCTGGCAGCTGGAGCTTAGTTCTCAGAGGGGCAGATGAGGAGGGAAGCTGGGGTGGGGCGTCCTGATGGAGCCCCGGGCAGCAGTGGGGACGTCTGCGGGGCCCTGGTCTCTCACCGGGTGAGGGGGCCGGACAGAGGCAGGCTGCTGTTGTTGGCACTCCAGGTGTCGGGGGGCTCGGGAACCGCACTGGTGTTAGCTTCTGGGGCCTCTGCACTTTCAAGAGAAAGTGCTTCTGTCATCCCAGGTGTGGTGGCGTCCGTGGTCACGGGTGGGGTTGTGTGTGTCACCGCTGGCGTGGTGAATCTCCCCTCAGGTTCTGGCGGGTGGGTTGATGCTGTTGAGGGACACTGAGGTCAGGGTGGTCTCGAGGCGCCCCCGAGGCACCCCACCCCAGGTGACAGCCCTTCTGCCCCAGCACTGCCCGGCAGCCACATCGGTCTGCTCTTGTCTCCATTTGGCTCCTTACTCAAAACCTAACTTCACTGAATTCACAGAGAAACGCCACTCACCGCCGGGTGAGGGCTCTGGGTGACGAGCGATGTCGGCACTTTATGAAAATTCACCTTAACCTGGGTGTCCTTACTGGCCCTGCTGAGGTGTGAGGACCCCGTTCCACTCATGGGCTCTTTCGGGGTCTCGGTTGGAGCAGGCTCTGTGCCCGGGAGCTGCCCCTCAGGCCTCCCCTTTCTCCTGCAGCCTCTTCTTCCCCCAGGGGTCCTCCCTGACTCCCAGTACCCCCGATTTCACCACACCTGCCCACCCAAGAGTGGTCTGACTTGGAGGTTCCTAACTTCTAACTCTCCCGGTGCCAATTCCTCTTCCAACCACCTTTGTTGTATTTTCAGTTAATTTCTAGAACATTCCCAAAACAGCACGCCTCCCAGCCACACACACGTACAACATATTTGCACATGCCCAAAAGACTTCTCTGCTCTATAAATGGGCTCATGAATCATAGGTCTACTCCCCGCCTGGTGTCTGTGACTCAGCTGAGGGGGTACTTTCTCTGGCACCCCAAGCGGAAACAAGCCCGAGGGCTCTAGAGATGGAGCTGGGGGCCCGGGCTCTGCCTGACTCTTCCCCGGCCAGACTCCTGGGGAGGCCCCAGTGCTTCTGGGGCAAGAGTGTCTGAGGGCTCCCCTCCCCCCCAGGCCCATAGACACCCTGCGCAGTGCTGGGTCCTGCCTTTCCTTCTCCAGGCGGAGTTTGGAGGCCCCCCGGCCCCCTCCCATCCCCAGAGGAGGGAAAGGCAGAGGGGGAGGGCCTTCGTCCTGCAGTAAGATTATCAGGATAGGGGCCTTCTAGCACCCCAGCTCCCTGCACCTGTGACAGGCGCCCCATCAGGCTGGGGGTGCTCTGAGGGTAGATGCGATGCCCAACTCGCCTGGAAAAGGACACCAAGTGTGTCCCGTGGGGCTCCCTCTGATGGCAACAGGGGGAGCTGGGCTGCCAAGCTGACGCTCGCTCTTCCAGCCTCTCCCCCTCTTGGTGCACCCCCAGCCCCTGTGGGCACACGCACACGTGCAGCCTAGACTCCTGCCCTGTCTTGGCGCAGGCAGAGGGGACGTCCTGCAGCCTGAGGGTCAGCTGGGCGGGCGCTTCTGGAGACAGCGGTTCCTACCTGCATAAACGGACACGTGGACCAGGTGCCCCAGGTCAGTTCCTGACTTCTGAATCCCACACCAGTAGAAGTCCTCGTCCTCAGTCCTCAGCTGCTCCATGGTCACTTTCACCTCGAGCCGTGCCTGGTCGTCCTGGATGCTCACTCGGCCTGTCTTCATCTTTTGCTCCGACCGGTCGGTGCTAACCAGGATGTTGCAAGAACCCCAGTGCTGCCCGCGGCACCACCACTTCACGTAGTCCTCCCACCCCAAGCCGTAGCGACACCTGATGGTCACCAGACCCCCTGCTGGGCCGCTCACGCCCTGCGGGCCGTAGATGGACAGGCCGCCTGCAAAGCAGAAGCCAACAGGTCTCCTGGCCTGAGCCCAGGGCTGGCCTGGCTCTGCTCGAGCTTCCAGCACCTCCCTGGGGGCGGGCCAGGCCCTCCACCCTCTGCCCCGGGGTCCCCAACCCCATGCCTGCCTGTTACTTACTCCCTGGCGGTTTTTATTTCTCCCTCTGTGTGCTCCTCACTACCTGATACACTGGGCTCTGCTCACTCGCCATCCTATTGGCACTCACGGCCCCCTCATGTTGGAAACTCCACCCCCTCCCCAGCCCGCAGTCCACCCCTCACAGCCCAGGTTGCCATGGGATCCCAGAGCTGGCAGGTGGGCACCGGGCATCCTGTTCTCTCACAGTTTACACCTTGCACCCCTGAGGGCCGACACCCTCGCCACCTATGATGAGTTGCTTGGACGTAAACACACACTCACGCACTCACACTCACGCACAGCAAACACATGCATGCTCACTCATACGCAGGATTGTTTTTTTTAGCCTAAACCTTATAAACCTTATACTCTATTAGGTCCTTGAACCTTTGCAGAAGGTGTTCCCTTTGTCTGGAATATTCTTCCTTCTCAGCTTGAAGGGACTAAATCCTTATACTCAGACTCGGCTCATTTCGTCTCTTCTAAGGGTTCTCTGAATCGGAGGTGGACTCAGTGCCTGCGGGTGCTCAGACTGCTCTGTCTCCCTGTTGCACGCGCTGCATGGACCGAGCTCTGGGCTTTGGCTCAAGCACAGCAGAAACTCAGGCACCATGGGCGGACTGAGCAACCTCCAGAGAGCCTGGGCTGCCGCTCCCCTGCCTGTGCCCCCCTGTGCCCCATCTCCCAGAGGAAGGGCCTCAGCTGCAGGTCAGACCAGTCCTGGAGGCCCGCACACCCTCCAGAAGCCTGAGCCACCTCAGCTGAGTGCTGTGACCTGCAGTCCCAGCAACTGAGCTCGCGGAAGCTCCTGAGAGTCCACGCTTTTGTGTGTGCATGCATGTGCATGCGTGTGCGTGTATGCATGTATGTGCGTGCTTGTGTTCATGCGTGTGTGCATGCGTGCGTGTGTGTGCACGGAGGTCTTTCTCCCCCATCAGGCTCTCGTCTGTGCACCTCTGTCCATGGGGGTCCTCTCTCTCCCTCTCTCTCTCGTTATCTTTGGGTCTCTCTGTGTCTGTGTATGTTTCTTCCTCCCCCTCTCCCCCGCCGCCAGGGTGGAGAAAGATCCGCCTAAAACACAAATCAATTACACTATTTATTTTCATTTTCTTTCCCCAATACCCAACCCGGTACTTAAAAGATAATAAAAACCTAACCTTTCGTTCTGCTCCGTCATCAGTGTCTGCCTGAACGAGTCTGCCCTGCCCTGTCTCGGGCGCGCCCCTCCCTCCACAGAACCCCCAGCCCCGCAGCCTCCATCCCGGGCCCGGCCCCACTCACCTGGGACCGCGAGCAGGAGCAGAGCCGGGAGCAGACACGCGGGGCTGCCCACCCGGCTTCTGTCCATGGTGGTGCTCAGTGCCAGCTGCCCCCGAGCACGGACCGGAGCCCGCGGGCAAAGTGCCCTGTGCGTGTCTAAGTCACTCCTCTCTAGCACATCTCGTCTACTTCCCTTCTTGTTTTTTTCAGTTACTTCCTAGTTTCATTAATTAGGGGGAAAACGTGTTGTTCTCGGGGGAGCACTTCTCTGGGTGGGATGACGTGGCTTGTGATCTGGGGAAAAATGGGGCCCTGCCTGGCAGCGCTCCCCTGCAAGTGTGTGTGAGGATCTGAGAGGAGCTGCCATGCTGGGGCATGAAATGGGGGTGCAGAGAAAAGAGGGAGCTGGGGCAGAGGGAGACAGGAGACCCGCTGGACTAGAGCTTGGGGACAACTCCACACTCAGGCGCTCCCCAGCCTCCGGGAGCAGCAGCCCATCCCAAACTGCCCCCCAGCCCCCCAGAGAGGAGACCCCCTTTCTGCCCTGGGACATGTCCCCCTGAGCCGGACCCACGGACCTCCCCTCCCAGGCCCTGAGTCTCTCAGAGCAGGAGTCACACGACCGGACTCAGGGAAGCAGAAGTGGCCTTCACCCTTCAGCCTGGTGGGCCCTGGAAGCTTCCTTTTCCCCTCTGCATATTTCCCCTGTTTGTGGGCTGGTGTCACGGCACCGCATGAAGCTGACAATCTGAAGACCTTCTCTGTGACCCTCCCACTTCATTCCCCTCCCCTCCCCTCAGCTGTGCCCCCCTCTGCCCTGTTCCCCTTCCCTGACCTCACTCTCTGAGCCCCGATACTTGCTCTGACCCCTCCTCCTGGCAGCTCCTGGAGTCAGTCCGTGCTCCTCTCTCCTGCCCTCAGCTGGCCTCTGTACCAGACCCACACACCCCTTCTGGGCCCCATCTCTTGGCCCAGAGCTCACTCTTGCTGCCAATGCCTGTCGGCATCTTTAGAACCCTGCACCCCATTAGCAGCTCAGACGTGTTGAGCACGTGGCCCTGCCCCCACACCCCTGGCTCCCTGCCAGCCACCCCCAGACTAGCTGTCTGAGATGAAGTCAGAGCCTGGGGGGGTCTTCTTCCTCCAGCTGCACCCTGAAGGGCCTTGAAGGCAAGGGGGGTTTGGAGGTGGAACCAAAGGGGCAGCAGCAGGACAGGGGCGAGGGGCCCTCTTGGGGAGGACCGTGAAGAGGGGGCTTGGGCAGGCTGCTCTGGAGGTGAGCCTTCTGCTGGCTCGGGGCCCCATGGCCTGTGCTTCCGCCTGCAGCCCGAGGCCCAGGAAGGGGACACCCGCCTCCTTCCCTTCCTCACAGCTGCGCTGAGATATCATTGGGCGGAACATAACTGCGTTCCCGTAAGGCACATGGTGTGAGGTTTTTTGTTGTTTTTATCATTATTCAACTTTACCTGCAGTAAAATTCATGTTGTGGTGAATATTTCCATCAGTTTCAAAACATGTGTCGTTTCACGGAGCCAAGCAGCCCATCACCTGCCCCCAGGCCTTTCATGATGGAGCCTGGCTCTTGAGTGGTGGGAGCTGAGCAGGTGAGGTTAAGGCTTCAAGTATCCATCTGGCTTTTGAGGCTCCACGCAGCCTTTGAGGTGCACAGGCCTGGCCATGGGCGCCCCCCAGTGGTCAGTCTGCACCGGGCTGGGCATGGGGATGGGGGGGGACTCAAGTCAGGGTGCGCCTGTGAGTTCTAGGATCCCTTTCTAGAGGTGCTTCCCTGCTTGGTCTCCCCGACACCCCAGCCAGCATTCAGAGACACGAACCCCTCCTGGCATTTGGGTGGAACACTGAGGCTTTTCTGCCCTTGCGCAGCTGCAGCTTCCTGAGATTGCTCAGCGTCCAGGACATGCAGAGGAAGAGTGAAGAGACAAAAGTGCAAGGGTGTCTCCCCCAGACCTGGGCTCCCCTGCCAGGAGAGGATCTCCTCCTTCAGAGAAGGGAGACCCCAGCGGCTGCCCATGGACTTGCAGCCTCTGAACTCAGCCTGCCAGGGACTGGGGCGGTGCGGGGTTTACAGAAACAGACACACAGATGCCGAGGAGTTTCCGAGACCCCAGCCTGCCTTTTCTCCGCCAGCGCTCCTGAGGTTCTGGTGTCTGCTGGTCTCTGGTGAACGCTCGGGAGTGCAGAGAGCTCCAGTAGAAAGGGAGCGAGCTCAGAAATAGAATAAGCTCTGTGCGAAGGGCCAATTCACAAACTTGAACTGCAGTGCCACCTTCAGGGAAACAGGAAACAGGAGAGGTTTCCAGGAGCCACCCTGCTGAGCTGGCTGCAGGGTGGAAAGAAGATGCACAGGTTCAGAATCTGCCACAAGGGGAAGAAGAGCAGGAAGTAGGTGTAGCCAAGTCAGAGGCCCAGAGGTGAGCACAACCCATGAAAATATCTTCCACCTGAGGACAACCAGTAGAAATTGGAGGAGGTGATGGTCCTTCAAATGTGAGAACAGCAGTGAAAAACTCCAAGGGGCAGGAGGAATCAAGGAACATGACACCATCAGAATGTCATAATAATCCTCCAGTAAGTGAACTCAAAGACATGGAGTTTTGTGATTTACCTGTTAAAGAATTCAAAACATCATTTTGAGGAACTCAGTGAGCTACAAGAGAATACAGAAAGACAAGTCAATGGAATCAGGAAAGCAAATTTTAAGCAAAATTAGAAGTTTAATTGAATTAGAAATCCTAAAAATAATAAAATTCATTCTGGAGTTAAAGAATTCAATGAATGAAATGAAAAAATAATCAAGAGTATCAACATAAAGTTGATGAAACAGAGGACAGGGTAAATGTATTAGAAGATAGGAAATTTGGAAAATGCAGTGAGAGGCGAACACAGGGAAAAGAATCATAAAGAACAAGGAATCCTAGAAGATCCAAACTATTGCAAGAAGAGAGGGAGAAGGGGCAGGAAAGTTTATTTAGGTAAATAATTGCAGAGAACATCTCAAATCTGGCAAGTGTCCTGTAGTACATCAAATTTATGAAGCAAATAGACCATGCCATGTCTCGAAAATGTAAACATGATGTTTCAAAGATGCATTATTATCATTCAGACATAAAGCAACAAAAAATAAACATAAAACAATGAAAAATCAAAGACAAAGAGAGCACCTGAAAACTAGCAAGAGAAAAATCATTTGTAACCTACAAAGGACAACCCCCGCCCCTCAAGGCTATCAGCAGATTTCTCAGCAGAAGTTCTGTGGGATGGAGAGTGGAATGGTGTATTCAAAGTGTTCACTATAAATGTTTGGAGTCAATTATACCTCGATTTTTAAAAGGAAAAACAATATCACAAAAAAGATAAATATGATGGTGTGGTTTCTTATGTTTAGATTGTTCTAGAAGCTAACTAAATACAGATCTCAGTGAGGGGAACAGAGCAGGATGCAGGAGGAGTCAGCACCAAGATGGAGGCTGGTTCCCATCAAACAGCATGTACTGGGTGGGGATGGTGGAACAGGCAAGTTGCTGGAACACAGAAGTGCTGAGGGGGGAGAGGATGTTGACATCACTTGGTGCAGCGGCAGAGGGCCAGGGGTCTAGTGTGGCCCGGAGGAGAGCACAGGAGGGAGTAGCCAGCATAGCGGGTCACTTCACAACAGCAGGCAGGGACCTGCTTCAGTGAGGGAGACCCAGAAGGGCCAGCTCACTGGACTCTGCCCTCCCCCCAGGCCCCCACTTAGCCTGGCTGAGTCCCCACTTGGTGTCTGATTGTTAACACACTTAAACCATCGGGGCTCCAGCCCTAAACCACCAGGGTTTTGCCTCTTACCTCGGCCCCTCCCCTCCCAGGAGGACTTCTGTTAAGGGTATTTGGGGGATTCGACATTCACGTTGTCTTCTGTAAATGTTTCCCATGGTTATTCAAGTTTTTTTTTTCTTTTTTAAAAAAGATTTATTTATTTTATTTATACAAGCACTGGGTATAGTCAGAAGCGTGGGAGGGTGAGAGAATTCACCAGAGCCAGAGCGGGGAGCAGAGCAGGCAGAAGGACCGAAGTCCACGGCTGAGGGGAGCAGCGGGCGGCAGGAGAGGTCTGCTCGCCATGTGGGACCCTCCTCTGGTGGCCAGGGAGCAGCCGGGGATCGAACCGGCGCTGCAGAGGCTGCGGGCAGCTTCGCAACCCAGAGCTCAACTGCTGTGCCACCGGGGAGGCCCAAGTTTTTTTTTCTATTTTGAAATTTTTCCATCTCTCACCAAAGCTTCTCTCTTCTTGTTCTTGTTATTTACTTATCTCTTTTGGGCAACATTTCATCATGGTCTAGATTTTCTACTTTTAAAGAGCTCAGGGGGCTTGTTTCACAAGTTCCCGCGGCAGCAGTGTCTGTGGTTGGAATCCTGAACAGCAGCTGCCCTGCCCTGAAATGTCCAGACCTCCCCCTCACACCTCATGGCAGGGACTAGGCCAGCAGGAAGAATCCACAGAAAATCGAGACCACTGGCTCTTTACCCTTTAAAAATAAGATACAGAAACAACCTAAATACTCCAAACAGACAAATGGATCAGGAAGATGTGGCCTATGGACACAGTGGAATACTACTCAGCCATCAAAAAGATAAACTCATGGCATTTGTGGCAACACGGATGCAGCTAGAAGGGATTATGCTCAGTGAAAAGTTGGAAGGAAAAAGATAAATATGAGATGGTCTCACTTGTAGGGGGATGGAGGGAACTGAACAAAGGGTCAGGAAAAACACAAAACATGCAGAGACTCCGTGGATCTGAGGCATCCGGCAGGGGCAGGGCCGGACGAGGGAGGACAGAGTGCAGGGGACTGTGGTGAGGGGTCACGGATGCTGTGGTGGTGGGGAATAAGGGGAGCTGCAGCTGGGGGAGAAATCAAATATTGTGCAAAAATGAACAATGTAAGAAAATAAAAAAACCAAATGAATAATAAAAAGAAAGGTGGACATACACTAATTAAAAAAATAAAAAAAGAGATGGCGAAGGATCCCTCAGAGGAGTGGACAGAGGGACAGGACTCAGGACTCCTGAGCTGCTCCCATTGTCAGAGTGGTAAACACGGGGTTAATGAACCTGACTCTGGGCCCGACACTGCCCGGGGGATTTCCCTGGCCCACGGCGTGTCTACTCCAGAACACTGACCACTGGCGTCCACAGCCCGGTGATGAGAGGGGCCGGAATCTGAGGGGGATGAGGCACATGGCCGCCCACTCGCTCCCACCCAGGGATGTCCACACACGCCCTGGGGCAAGAGGAGCCAACCCTCCCCCCTGCACCCCATCTTGGCTGTCCTCTGGGGTCCAGTGCGGACTCGACGGTCTTGCTAAACAAAAAACTGTTACAACCAGTTCAGGATCCTCTCTGTGAGCCCCTAATCAACACACGCGCGCTCGCGCACACACACACGTATCATGGTGAGGAGGGTGGGGGGTGGGGGGATGGGTGGGGGGTGGGGGGATGGGTGGGGGGGTCCCCACCTCAGGGTCTCACTGTCCCCCTCAGGAGCCCTTTTCTACATCACTGCTGAGCTGGGTATTGAATTTCGCTGAAGTTCTTGTTCCCTACACTCGGGTCCTTGCTGATCTGTCCTTGTTCCTCCTGATCAAGGGGGCCCTTTAAATGCTGCTGAGGTGGGTTCTCAGAGGGTCCCCAAAGGCCCGGGCTGCATGTCACAGTGACCTGCTCGTGGACGGGAGGGCTTGAGAGACTTGAGCTGTCGAGGGCACTGAGGGGGCTAGGGTGGGGCTGGGCTGGGCGGGGGTGGGGGGTGGGGGTGCTTGCTGCTTTCACGTGGATGTGTCACCACATTGGGAGAGACCAGGGAATCTTCACCCCCAGCAGGAACACAGCCTCCCAGGGGAGAGTGTGTGACACCCCCAGGGTGCAGGCCCAGTGTGAGGTCAGCTGAGATTCAGCGGGTGGGGACATGTAGGTGATGGGGTGTTGCGATCCCTGACCTGGATCAGCAGCAGGAAGGATCTGCAGGGCCTTCTGGGGATGGTGGGGCCGGGGCCCCTGCAGGTGCCCGGGGGTGGGGGCTTTCATTTCCCAAGTCAATGACCTGTGCATGTCTGATGTGTGCACTTCCCACACGTATTTCACATGCAATAAAGGGATCTAAGTTGCGCCCTGAGTTCTCTCCATGCCATCCCACACTGCTCTGTGGGTTCTCTGAACAGCTGCTGAGAGCCCATTGGGTGACCCCCATCATCACTGTCCTGGTTGGGGGCATGGAGGCTAGTCCAGGCTGTGCTCTGGCAGGTGTCACCTGCAGGTTCTAGTCCTGGTATGATGGGATCCACCTGCACAGTTGGGGAGTGGCTCCCAATGACCACTATGAAGAACCTACAGAATGGGGGGCAGCCCTTGAGGATTTTGCATTGAACAGAGCAGGGGGACAAGGAAAGGACCAGAGCGAGTGGACAGTCCAGCTGGAGTTTTCTACCGACGCCCCCTTCTCTGCCCCTGCCTGGGACGGAGGCACTGGCAGTGAGACCAGAGCTGGCCTGGAAATGGGGGACAGCAGGGGTGTGTGAGACGGTCATCTGTGGGGTGAGATGGAGGTGGAGGGAAGGGCATGGAGGGCAGGTGCCAGGAGATGCCAGGAGGGGCCCAGCAAGGAGAGGGCGCAGCAAAGAGGGCGGTTGGGAGGAGAGGGGCACAGTGGAGGGAACAGGGGGAGGTGTGGGGAGGTCACTCACAGGTCATGAAGCAAACAGCCTCCTGCAGGGAGGGGACCAGCAGCCCAGAAGAAGGGGAGACCTGCAAAGAGGAGGAAGAGGAAGCTTCCAGGTCAGACAGGCAGAGGGTAAAAGCCACTTCTCCTTCCCTGAACCCGGTCACGGTGGCCTCTGCTCAGAGTGACCAGGGCCTGGGAGGGAGGGGCAGTGGGTCAGGCTCAGGGGGACATGCCCCAGGGCAGGAAGGGGGTCTCCTGCTCTGGTGGGGGCTACGGGAGAGATTTGGTATGAATTGTTTCTCCAGGAGACTGGGCAGGGCCCTGACTGCTGTGTTCTCCCCAAATGCAAGTCCAGGGGTCTCCGCCTCCCTTCCTCCCCTGCTCCCCCTTTCTGTGCACGCCCCAGCTCTGTATTTTCTCCCTGTAAAACCCACAGCCAGCTGATGTTTCCCACCCGCCCATCCGCACGCCCTGCAGTGGAGAAACACACACTGTTCTCCTCAGGTGTCAGTGCGCGTGTGGGAGCAGACATGACAGGAGGTGGTGAGAGAGAAACCCAAAGGGGATTGGGGCAGGTTCCCTTGAATGTGGAAGGAGAGCAGGGTCCTCTGTCCTGGACCCGCGGGAGCTGTCCAGTGCTGAACCCGGGTGCAGCCTGGCCAGGGCGCTCAGAATCCAGCCCCTACCTCCAACCCCTGCCACTGCACCCCCTCCCCGCCAACAGCCCCTCCCCCGCCCCCGCCCTGCCCCCCCCCCCGCCCCCCTCCTGCTCCCAGGGGAGCTGGGACTGCAACCCATGCTGATGCAGAGCGCTGGAGAACAAGGAGCAGGGGCCTCCAAGCTGGGCATGGACCTGCAGAGGCTGGACTCCTAGCAGGGGGAGCTGGCCCTGACTTCTATGAGCACGTCCTGCACAAGGTAAGACTCTCCTCCTGTCCCTGCCCGGCCTCAAAGCAGCAAGAGGCGCCCTCGCCAGGAGTTCTCTCCATCGCCCTGACTTCCCTTGGGAACTTAAAGAGAAACAGCCGGATTCTGTGCGTCTGTGTGATCCTGTTCACGGCTCAAAGCAGAGGTGTGATGGGGGAGGGGCCGCCAGCAGAGCCCCGGGGGTCCGGAGCGTCTCCTTCACTTAATCACCTGTGTCCTTTCCTCGTCCTCCCTCCTTTTCCTTTGAAGTCCTGTGTCCCCTGTGCACCCTGGGTCTCCCTAACCCTCGAGGGACCCTGTGTTTATCCTCCTGTGTGAGCACCCAGCTCTGACTTGCTAAGTGGAATATCTTCTTCCTCGGGAGGGGAGGGTGGGGGGCAATGAAACCTCTTATGGAATTCCCTGTTGTGAAAGTCACACGCCAGTTATCACAGCCCCGGATGCGCTTGTGCTTCAGCTGGTCCTCGGAGTTGGGGGCTGACCTACCTGAGCCTGAGGAACTCCTAGAATATTCCTGGAGGGTGGGCTGGGGGCTGGGAAGTGCTGGAAGCATTTCCTTCATTCATCACGCGCTTGGAGTTTTTAAATAGAGTTGCTGTTGTTCTCACAAGTCTGAATATTTGATGCAACTGAACAACTGAAAACATGTGAACAGCCTCTCTCTCTGCTCTTTCGCTCAGAGAACCCCCAGCCCCTCTTGCTGCCAGTCCAGTCTGGAGACCCGCAAGGACAAGGGTGTGCTTAGGGGCTCAGCACCAGGCCACGGCTTAGGGTCCTGCTGTGCCAGGACCTGACCACGGGCTCGGGGCAGGGAAGCCCAGAGCAGGGCGGCTCCTGCCGGGACACCAGGGAACCAGGACACGGGGCCTCAGTGCAGAGCCTGTTCCTCATTCGGCATCACCACGCGCTGGCACAGCCACGTGCCGGGCTTGCTCCAGGGGGACAGGTGCCCCCTAAGGCAGAGCAGCCTCCGCTGCAGCATCTCAGACATACCCAGGAGGAGCGGACAGACAGACACGACTGTCCATCCATTCCCGCAGGGCTTGGTCCTCGCCGGGGGAAATGGAAGTGTTGGCAGATCAGGGAGGTGCCAGCAGAAGGTCCCCGTCCCACACCCGGAGCTCCAGGCCGGGCTGGGGTCAGCAGGGGCTCAGCCGGCTCAGTGCCTCCTGACGGTGCCGTATTCTGTGGGCTCCTCCTGGCTCCTGTGGGGGATGTGGGTGATGAGCCGCTCCGTGTTGCTGTAGGTGGGCTCCATGTTGCCATAGGTGGGCTCTTGACCCAGGGCACCCAGAGACAGGGCTGCATAGGTAATGTCCTCCTTCTGAGAAGGACCCTGAGATAAAGACGGCGGGTGTCAGCTGGCAGGAGGCAGTGCCGGGATGAGGGGGAGGCCTCGTGAAACGAGACTGACACTATTGGGTGCTGAGGCCAACCCCAGGCTATCGTGTTCCCCTGCCCTGCCCTCTGCCAGGGGCCCTGAGCTCCCCCGCAGAGAGGATACCCCTCACCCCCACGCAGTGGGCCCAGGTCACTTGGCCATGTGGGTCTCCCCTGCCAGGCATGAACTCAGGGCCTCTGAGTTCCCAGTGCTGAGCCCCGGGATGGGGACCCTTCCAAAGCCCAAAGCAGGAAGGGGTGAGGGGCGGGTTCCCCAGACAAGTCTTCAATGGCTGTGGCTCTGCTCCCCCTCCTCTGGGCCCATGTGGGTGGGAGAAGCCCATCCTCACAGGGGTGGCCCCAGCAGGGGCTCCCAGCCCCCCAGCCCACAGCACACCCCGCAGTGATGTACTCCACCTGCACCTCCACCTGGGTGGTAGACAAGGGCCTGGCGGAGGTCTTCTTGCCAGAGGCACCCGTCCGATGCAGGGCCAGGCTCGCATAGCAAACTTCACTCTCTGGGGCCTGGACAGGAAGGACAGGTTCCTTTTCCTCTGGAGGGACACCAACCTCTCTGCCTCCCTGGTGCCCTCTGCAGGCTCCTCCAGCACCCCCTTCCAGTTCCCACACCAGCCCCTCCCAGCCTCCTGCCTCTGGCTCTTTCCAGGGCCCCTCCCAGACCTCAGCCCCACCAGGCCCTGCACTGGGCCAGGGGTACAGGATGCCTGGGCCCTGGGGGTCCTGCTAGTTTGGGCCTTGCTGGTCCAGTGCTCTGGGGAGGGGCTGGCTGGTGTCCCGGGTCTGGCCTCGGGGCTCTCACCTGCCCTGGGGAAATCCCGGAAGCTGCAAGACAAAGACAGTAGGAATCAGAAAACCCATCTGAGACTCACAGGCCCAGGCTTGGGGAGAGAAACAGGAGCAAAGGGTGAGCCGGGTCCTGCTCAGAGAGGCCCCGGCCCTGCTGACCCAGCACACACGGCATCGTCACCTCCCCTGTGCGGCCCCGGCTTCTCCCCCTGGAGAGTGAGGACCCTCGGCCCAGCCGCGGCCACGTCACAGAACCCGCCTCAGTCTCAGGGGGCCCTGCCAGCTGCCCTGGGTCCTTCCCTTCCCCTCAGCCCAGGCTCAACCTGCCACCATGGCTGGTAGCCCTGCCTGGAACCCCAAACCCCTAAAGTTCCCCGGTTCCCACTCGGAGCTCCACAGACTCCTGACCTGCCTGAGCTGCTACCGGCCCCCTCAGCCCTCCCCGCCCCACCCCGGGCTGCCCTGGGTTTGTCTGTCCCGTCACTGACGTCCCACAGGTCCTGGGGGGTCCCCGGGGAGGTGGCTGCAGGGAGGGCGCCCTGGTGTGGCTGTGCCAGCGCAGGAGACACGGGGGTGGGGGGCACAGCTGTTGGGACACAGGCGGCCCCACCTGCCCTGCGGGGGGACCTGCCAGCGGGGTCTCGCGGTCTGGACCAGCTTCCCGGTGCCCCGCGGGCTCCCGCGTCTTCCTGGCCCACCCCTGCCGCCCGCCCCACCTCCTGCTTCACGGACCACAGAGAAGCCTCTTCCTGCTTCTCCGCGTGGAAGTCTAGGGACCCCCCTGGGCTCAGGGGTGCTCAGAGCCGGGGCCCCGGCCTGCGCGTCCGGGGGGACAGTGACGAGGAAGACCCGGCTCCTCCGCCCAGCCCAGCAGAGCCCGGGGAGGGCGGCCGCGGGGCCCCGAGACAGCTCAGGCCCGGCCCGGAGGAGTCGGGGGTGGGTGTGAGAATGTGGACGGAGCCCGCGGGAAAGGGTTGGCTGAGGCCGGAGCTCGTGCCCAGCGCCGGCCCGAGGAGGATCCCTAAGGGGCCGCGGTCTCGGGACACGTCCGGGGCAGAAGGGGCCGGGCAGAGGGAGCAGCGTGGAGACGCCGTGTGCGCGCGTGTGGGGTGCGCAGTCGCGTGTGCAGGGTCACGAGTGTGCATGTGTCGGGGGTTCTCCTCCTCTCTCCCCGCCCCCCCGCCACAGCAGGCTCAGTGCCTCCTCGGGAACTACGTCTGCTCCGCCCACGAGTCCTGGCCCGAGCTGGGCTCTGCCCCAGATCCAAGCCAGGGACGGGGGCAGGGAAGAGAGCAGAGCCATCCGGGGGTGAGCAGCAGACAGGGGCACCCACCCCCCCGACCTCGCAGGTCCATGTCTCCCCCCAGCCCCTCTGCCCGCCCTGCAGGTGGCCCGTGGACACGCCCCTTCCAGGCCTGCGGGTCACCTGTCCGGCGGGTCACGGAGGGCAGCGCAGCCTCGGCCCCATCCCTTGGCCCAGCCCGGCCTCTCACCTTTCCTCTGCCGCCTCACCAGCCTCCAGGCCAGGAGCGAGGCCGCCGTCAGGACCAGCAGCAGCACGGCCGCCACCAGGGGGAGGAGGATCTCCGTGACGACGTCCCTGGAAACAAAGGGAGGACCTCATGCACCCCAACTTCCCCCTTGGGCCTCCCACCCACTGGCTGCAGGGCGGACACCACCTTCTGACCTCCAGGCCTGTGGTGTCCAGCCTGGGACGCCCCATCTCGGGTGCCCTCGGAGAGGGTTAAGAAAAGGCAGAGAGGAGAGAAGGGCCCCCCCCCACCCCTGCACCGAGGCAGTCCCAGGGGGTCTGGAACCCAAGACAAATACAGCATCGGGCTCCACAAGTGGGTCCCAGGCCTGCCCCAGCACTGGTGGAATAGTGTCCCCCACAGTCCAGGCCACTCAGACCCGGGGTGACCACCTGGACAGGAGACACTTGCAGGTGTCATTAAGGTGAGGGGGTCACTCTGGGCGGGCACCCTGTCCAGTGATGGGTCCTGAAGAGGGAAAGAGGCCCAGGGACCCCCAGGGAGAGGCCCCGGGAGCAGGATGGAGGGGCCACACGCCAGGGGATGCCGGGGGTGCCCCAACTCCAGAAGCAGGAGAGGGGCGTGGACACACCTGCCTCTGAACCCCAATAGGAGCCATTCTGCCCACCTGGTTCAGGCTCTGGGCCCCGAGCTGGGAGAGAAGGGGAAGCCCCTCAGCCTCCCCCTCAGAGGGTTGGGAGACAAGTGCTGCCCGGGACCTGGGGCTACAAGGGACCCCCAGGAGGTCATGCCCTGTGGAGTCCTGACCAGCAGGATCCAGCAGGCGTAGGACACAGCAGCATATGAGCTGGCTTACCTGCTGTCGGGTACAGTCTGAGAGCCTTTGTCCTCTTCTGGGGTGACTGGTACTGTGGGTGTGGTGGTGCTGGAGGCAGTGGTTATGGTAGTGGTGGACACTGCAGTGGCTGCTTGGCACAAAATCAGATACGTACACTCTGCCTGCCAGCCTGCCGCAGCCCTGTATGCTGCTCTGAGCCTGGGGGTCCCTAGGGTCTGGGGTGCCTAGAGCTGAATCTCTCAGGCCTTCAGGCCCCCAGTAGATTCACGAGCCTGGCAGCAGGTGGGCTGTGGGAGCAGGAGGGCGTCCCGCAGGCCCTGGGAGCAGAGGGGCAGGTGCTCAGGGCCAGGCAGGTGGAGTCCCTGAACCTTAAACAGCCCTGCAGCTCCTGAGTCCCAACCAGAGCCCCACGTATTGTCTTCCAGCAAGGAAGGAGCAGAGCAGGGCTGCCCGGCACTGATAACCAGCCTGTGACTCAGGTCAGGACTGGTCTGAGCCCACCATGTCCAGGGAGACCCTCACACTGGGCAAGGGGTGAACTTCTGTGATGTCGGCCCTTCCCAGGACGAGGTCAGGACTCCACAGGGCATGAAGGGCTGCTCCACACAGTGAGGTGCCTCCCAGGCCCCAGGGTTGGTGCCCCCCCCCCTTTGCCAAGGTGCTCCGGGGAGGTCACAGGATGGATCCCCAAGACAAGCAGGTAGGAGTCCCTGAGCTGCCTTTCCAGGGTGTCTGCATTCTAGAAGGACTCAGGGAAAAACATCCAAGAGTCTAGGTACAGAAAGGGGTCAGGTGCATGTCAGGCCCCAGGGGAGCAACCCCTTGACTGTGGGGGTGTTTCCGGGTCTCGGGAATCAGCCAAGCCCCTGACTGAGCTGGGCCCTTCCCACTGAGAGCAGACGTGGAAATTGAAGTGGAAATAGTCACTTGAGGTCCCAGCTTCATCTCCAGAAAGAGCAAGACGGTCCAAAGAAAGCACAGAAGGACTTGGGGGTCTCAGTCCCATGAGAAGGGGGTCCTTTGCCCATGCGCTGAACAAGGTCCATCACCTGACCTCTGTGACCATGGACGGAGGGGCTGAGCCGGGCAGAGGCGGACAGTGAGCCACAAGGATCCTCCCATCAGGAGAGACCTGGAGCCTTGAGTATCCGGGAGAAGCCCCCCTCCCAGCACCCCTGGGCGAGGCTCCCCCCTCTGGGACAGTCACCCTGAGTGACAGTGACCCCTGGGGAGGACCTGAGGAACCAGGACAGAGCAGGCCCCGCAGAGACACAGCGACACGCACAGGCGCTCACCTAGGTCAACGGTCACTTTAACTTGGGTCCCAAGGTCAGTACGTGCTTCTATATCAACCCCACACCAGTAAGTGTCCGCATCGCCCCGTGTTAGCGCCTCCATAGTCACGGTGATAGTGTGGTTCTGCTGATTGTCCCTGATGGACACGCGGCCATTCTTCACTTCCTGCTCCGAGCCGGTGGTTCTAACGAGGGTCTTGCAGCTGCCCCAGTCAGCCCCTCGACACCACCACTTCCTGTGGGTCTCGTAGCTTTGGCCATAGTCACACCGCACGGTCAGCGAGCCCTTCTCCAGGCCCTTCACTGTGCCTGGACCCCTGACGGCAGAGGAGCCTGGAAAACACACGTCCATGCCCCTGTGACCCCACCTGCACACAGGCCCAGCCTCCTGCCCTGCGCCTGCCCCCTCAACCCAAGGCGGGGAGGTGGATACAGCCATGGAGGGAATGACCCCAGGAGAGAGGCCTGTGTCCTTCTACATCCCACTGGGCAAAGTCACGGGAACAGCCCCTGAGACACAGCTCAGAGTCAGAGACACAGAGAGGCTGGCCCTGAGCAGTAACATCTCCCAGATTCCCTCCTGCCACACACACAGTCAGGTAACCTTTGTATTCCAGCAGTTTCCCTTTGCAGCCGTGCCCGTGTTAGTCAGGCTGGTGGGAGAAATCCCAGAGGACCTTCTCCACAGAGGCCTGTGCCTGGGCTTGCATGAAGACTCAGGTGGTGCAGCTGAAGCTCTTGCATCCCCTGGTGTGGGCTGCTCCTTATGATTCCCTGGGAACCCCCTGTGGGACCCCTTTGATGACACCAATGGTGATTCTCAGTGGCTACGTGAGCTGCGGGTCCAGGACACACAGGAGCCACTTTCTCCATTAAATTTTGCCAGTTCCCATCGCAAGCTCCTAGCCAGGAGGGCTTGTGAGAGGAGCAGGGTCAGGAGTGACACAGCTGCCCCTTCGAGCCTGCCCGTGTTGGCAGATGTTGTTATCCCCAGTCGAATGACTCAAGTATGAGACCCTGACCTGCCTCCTTTTCCTCTCCTGTCCCCGTGGGTGGAGGACCCCAGGAGCTTGGCGGTTCCGTCCAGGCTTTTGCTTGAAGGACTCAAAGTAACGGACACAACTAAACGGGACCTGCTCAAAAATCTCCACATTACGGAGCCCCAGGGAGCCCTGCCCAGGGGTGCAGCCTCGACCCGCGCTCACGGGTGTGAGTACAGCTGCGACACGCCGCGGCCTGGGGTGGACGAGGGCGGGTGGCCACGAGCATCTCACAGCTGCCGTCAGTGCTCCCAGCCCTCCCTGACCACCCGCCAGGACTGACCATCAGAGAGACGCCCCACAGGACGGGCCCAGCCCCTCAGGGCAGCCCCGAGCAGGCCTGGACCCTCGCACTCTACACCCGACGCCTGCCTCGTCCTCTCAGCCCCGCCAGGTCTGATGAGAAATCCCCAGTGGGGCTCAGGCCACCAGAGCAGCCCTTGGTGCTGGCGGGGTCAGCTTTTTGGGTTCACATAGCCCCGTGAAGATGGACACAGGCCGTAGAGCTCCCCTTTGTTTTTGTAACCTTTCACTGGAACTCTTTAAATTTTTCCTCAACCCCTGAGTGGGCTCCCACTCTGTCCTTCCTTGTGACCCTCCTCGTCAATAACAGCCTCATGGTCACTGACCTGGGGGGCTCACAGGGGACATCGGGGACCAGGCGTCTGCTCTCCCAGGTGGGCCCCCGGACAACAGGCTCCTGTGTCTGCCCCATGCCCAGCCCTCGCCCAAGGGCACCGCGGCCAGCAGATGCATGTCAGGACCAGTTCTCGGGCCTGATCCAGGTCACCTCCTCACCTTCTCAGGGGAGCAGGGAGCGCCTCTGGCCCAAGGGGAGCCCCCAGGTCACCCTCCTGGCCGAGGCCACAGAGCAGGCCCCACGCTCTCGGGTTTTAAAGCCTTAGTGACGACACAGAACCTCCTTTCCTGGAAGGTCAGTGATCACACATGTCACATGCCAGGTCATTGTGGAAACTGTGTGCACTCTACTACATTGCTGATCATGGACATTGGTGTTCCATGCACTTTTTTGCACATGCATTATTTTCCACAACTAAAATAACCTGTAGGTATATAGTAACCCCAAAGCCAAGTTGTGCTGAGCAAGGACGTACTACAGTCATTCCAGCAGAAACTATGAACCACATACGAGTTCTCAGTGTTCCTGTCAGATGCTTCTGGAGCTAAGACCAAAACACGAGAGAAGGAAAAACATCAAACTTATGCTTATTAAAAAAAAATGACAGGAGTTGGAAAAAAAGATTTAAATTAAAACTATTTGAGTCCATAATTGAATTCAACAGCGAGATTTGCACGTGTATTTCGGTGACGTCCCTGTGAGCCAAAAACAAACATTGAACAACCCAAATAAAACAAGCTCCATCCTCACAACATGCAGGTGTGTTACAGACCCGGGAAGAGCCACCGCAGACACATGTCAGATTTGTAAACACACGTGATGCAATTTTAGGTGACAGAAAGGTTTAATAACACAAAATCTGTAGTATGATCCTAAAACCTCTCTATGACGAAAACCGCTCAGTTTTTCCTGTTTGCTACGGCAGCTCTAGAATAATGCAGAATGCACCCCCTTTCCCTCCACTAGCTTAAAGTGACACAATTAAAAGGTTTGTCTGTAAATATGTGGCAAACATTTCTGCTTTCAGAGTCTTTTCTCCCACATAAGTGATGATCAAGTCTGTGGATAAATAAATGGTCGTTTTGTTCCCCATTGCCGCCTCTTTCTAGAAAAGACTCTGCTTTCTGCCCAAGAGTTGGGGTTACGGGTCCTCAGGGGGCCCAGGGAGGATGAGAAGTAGCAGAGGCTTGTGGGCATGCCCCGCCCCCCACACCGTTCTATCTGTCTGAGCATCCAGCAGCTCCCCCAGGGCCATGACACCACCCAGAAATAGACACTCCCGATGTCTTACCCCACCAACAACTTCCCCTCTCCCTCCGGCTCCCAGCCCCAGCCCCACTGACCCCAGGAGCCTGGCTTGCTGCCCTCACCCCATGGACCAGCTCTGGGCTTTGGCGCCTCCAGAGCAGAAACTCGGGCGCCACGAGTGCCCTGAGCCTCCCCAGAGCCCAGGCTGCCTCCCCCATGGCTGTGCCGCCCTGGGCTCCAGCTCCTGGGGGCTGAGGTCCAGGAGCCCCTTCTGCCCTCAGAGCCTGGGCCTCCTTGACAGGCCTGCCCTGCGCTGAGACCTGCTCCTGAGGAGAGAGCAGGCCTGGGCCCTCGGGACGCCTCACCCTGGGCCCCCAGCCAGGAGCAGGCTCTGCCCTCAGGGCGCCTCTGCTGGCCTGTGCCCTCTGTCCCAGCACGGCAGGGCCTGTGAGAGACCCTGGGTCCTCCCCAGGGAGAGAGAGTCTGCAGGGAGGATGGCCCTGCCCTGTACCCTGGCGCGTTCCCGCCCCACAGACCCTGTGTCCTGCCCCAGCCCCGCAGCCTCCAGCCCAGGCCCAGCCCCCCTCACCTGGGGCCACGAGCAGGAGCAGGGCCGGGAGCAGACACGCCAGCTGCTCTCCCATCCCTGCTGACAGGCGCCGTCCCTTCAAGCCCTTGAGGCCAGCACAGGAGGGACCCTGAGTCTGCTTCAGAGTCCAGGGACCCGGAGACTCTCCTTTCAGTTTCACCCTCATCACTGTCTCCACATCTGCAGTGACTTCCCTCTTGACATATTAGGGCAGAGGGAGGTTCTCTGGGGCGCTGACCTCAGGTGTGAGAATCAAGACCTTCATGGAGATGGGAAAGGTAAGGAGCCCAGAGGCAGCTTTGCCCAGGAGGGGGACAGGGTCTCTGCCGCGTTGGGGGTGACCCCACAGCTGGGTGAGGGGAAAGCAGAAGGGGGAGTGGGCAAAGGGAGACAGGAGACCCACTGGACCTTCACCTTGAGGGGGGAATGCACCCTTCAGGGCCCTTCCCCTCCTCAGGAACAGCCCATCCAAACCCCTGTTATGCCCCCAAGTGCAGCAGACACCCTTCCTCTCCTGGGCCATGTCCCCCTAAATCTGTCCCCCTGCCCCTTCCTCCCAGGCCCTGGTCACTCTGAGCAGAGGCCTCCGTGACGGGCTGCAGGGAAGGAGAAGTGGCTTTTACCCTCTGCCTGCCTGACCTGGAAGCTTCCTCTTCCTCCTCTTTGCAGGTCTCCCCTTCTTCTGGGCTGCTGGTCCCCTCCCTGCAGGATGCTGTTGGCTTCATGACCTGTGAGTGACTTTCCCACACCTGCCCTGCTTCCCTCCATAGGAATCCAGTCTCCACAGGTCCCTGCCCTCTGAAGAGCCGTAATTCAGGGCAGGGGAGAGCAAAAAATCATCTCATTCTGAGAACAACAATGAAGAATTTGAAATAAAAGTTCATTTCTACAGCAAATATTTCATCCAAGGGTTTGATGGCCACCCAAAAATAGAAGACATGTTAAGAATCTCCCAAAATTAAAAGCATAAATAACATATCAAAAATAATAATGAAAAAATAGGATACACATATAACTCAAAGATGGTGGGGGGAGGAGCAGGGCTCAGGAGAAGGGGCAGCCCCGAGGGTGGGACAGCCTGGGAAAGTCGCTAGAGCCAGGACAGGCAGGTCAGGCAGAAGAGGTGCCACAGCTCATCAGGAAATGCTGTGCAAGACACAGAAGGGGGACCCCCAGGGGAGCAGCCAGGGTAAGGGCACTTCCTTCCAGTGAAATCATCACAGCGGCCTCTGCTCAGAGTGACCAGCGACCTGGGCAGAAGGGGCAGCGGGTGAAGCTCAAGGAGGGGCAAACCCCAAGCTAGGGCGGGGGTGTCCTGCTCTGGGCTGAGGTGCGGCTGTGAATGAGGTTTAGGGTGGGCTGTGCCCCCAGGGGGCCCTGAGAGCTGCCTGTTTTCCAAGTCCAGCCCAGAGAGTCTCTGCCCTCCCCCTTCCCCAACTCCCACCCCCCCACCAAACTCGAACCTCACTGTGACCAAACCAGCCAGGCACAGTCTCTCCCCTTCACCCCCCAGGCTTGACACCTCCTTTGTTTTTTTCACATTTCACAGACTGAGAAAACAGCACCTCATAGCTCCCAGGCCAACACCAGCAGGCCCAACCTAAGGGCCACACTGGTCCTGGCCTTTGTCCAGCTCCCCCTTCCTTAGGCCCCTGCAATGCCAGCTACACACCCAGCTCGCTGCCAGAACCCAGGTCTGTGGTCTGGGGACACAAGCCTGCCCCCCTCAGTGTGTCGACAATGAAAACTCCTTTCCTTCCCCTCCACTCTCTCCTCTCCTTGGCCAAGGGACGGGGATGGGCGTTCCAGAACATCAGTCTGTGGTCTCTTCCTGG